TCTCTCTGCCCCTCCCCCGTTCATGCTCTGTCTCTCTCTGTCCCAAAAATAAATAAAACGTTGAAAAAAAAAATTAAAAAAAAAATGTGCTTTGTTTTCTAATGCATATTTACTATGTTATTGATTAGAAGATGCTTGGAATAATGTAAAAATGGGCACAGATTAGAAGTCTTCAGATTATAATCCATGCTAATGGCAATTTTCTGTTTTTAATGAGTAAAAAGTTTTCCCTATCTATATAGCCATTCAAAACGCAACTATCTGATTTGAGGACCTGAACAAAAAATGAAAAATATGGAAGAGTGACCCGCTGGCCTGGATTCTGTGTATCTAAACATATGTACATGATTTGCACAATTCTGCCACCATTAACAGATACACTGATTTTAGAACGTGGATTTTTTTTAAATGAGCCCATAGTCAGTCGGCCCATTCACCCTGATTCAAAGATACAGTGACTTCAGAACAGGCTTTTTATTTAACAGGTTGAAATGCACTTAGCACATTATCAACACCAGCCTCCTTGTAAGGCCAGCTCAAACGCCCCACTTCCTAAAGTCTTCCTAAACTTAAGTCCATCCCTCCCGCTCTGCGTTTTCTTTTCCTTCTTTTCAGCACTTCGTGTTTCAGGGCTTGTGTTAGCACAGAGGTCAACCCGGTGGCTGCCAGAGGGGGGGCGTGGGGGATGGGCAACATGGGTAACGGGGAGCGTGAGGTCGCGGCTTCCAGGGGTAGAACGAGGAAGTCCTGGGGATGAAGGGTACGGCATAGGGAATACAGCCAATGCTACTGTGACAGCATGGTACGGTGACAGAGGGTGGCATCCCATACAGGCTGGTCGCATCACCACCCTGCACACTAATGCAACATTCTGTGCCAAATATACCTCGATAAAGAAAAAAAGGTATTTGGGGTCTTGTGCATTCATGCCACAGGCATCAGCCAAGATGGGCCAGTCTTCAACTCTGCGTCTCACCCGTCCACACCCTATGGCACTGAGACCAGTGGCTGCACAAAACACATCCTGGTCATTGCTTTCGGCATGATGTCTACGTAACAGGTACGCACCATGGAAGTATAACTTCCTCTCAGGACCCCAGGCTCTGACATCAGACTGCCTCATTCAAATCCAGCCCCGACTAATTACCAGCAACAGGATCCTTCCCGTACCTCCGTTTCCTCATCTGTCCATAGCAGTAATAATAATGATAACAATAATAATAATAATAAAGCCTGCCACATGAGGTTTTCAGAGAATTAATGATTTAATGTATTATAAATGCACAGCCCAAGACGTGTTAAT